AGAAACGGAAATACCAACTAGTTATGAGGGCACACCTGAGAATTGAAGCACAACTGCCGGAAAGCCTGCTGATAACCCACCAACGAGGAAGCCTGCAGAGCACGCTGACATCCCAAATGACGAAAAACGAAAAGCAGCATGCCACCCATCTAAAAGAACAAATAAGAGCGGTGGTATACAGAAATCTGCGCACTACCGAAAACTCACTCGTCACATCCTCCTGTTGTCAGAAAAGGCTTAGTCTCTTCAGGCCCTCATCAGGGCCGCCAGCTATGCGAGGATCACCTACCCCGGCTTTCGACCTGATCATTCATATTTTTCTGGGTTTGACCGACCGTCAAAACGAGACTGCCGGCAACCACCATGGGAGAATAGTAACTCTGCAGGGCAAACACTCCAATCCGCTCCAGTTGTCACCGCTGCATTCTGCGCAGACAGGGCACAACTTCTGCGACAAACCATTCAGCAAAGACCCGCAGAGGGGGAGGTATTCCCTCCCATACCACTGCATTTCCGCTAATGATTGATCATGTGGGGAGAGGCATCCGGGAAATCAGCAGGAGGACGTAGTGGCATAGAGGCAGCAATCATCGTCCATTATTTGAAGCTCAACCCCTGAACTGTTGAAATGCAGACTTGAGTTCAAACACAGATGGAACTGAACGAATGGAATCAAATACTTGTGAATCTCCTGGCGTTGGTCAATTCAATGATAGTTTCTGAAGACCTTCGCCCTTTCGCACACACAAAAGGCAAATGCCAATCCATAGTTGGGTTTATGAATCATTAGGCAGCTCCACCCAAAGTCACAGGCATGTCCATATTTTGAGCATCGGGGTACTTGGGTATAGCAGCAGCTTAGCACTGCTCGGCTCGGGGCAAAGTCCCACTACCACGGGTTTGGTCTTCCTTTCAAGTCTTTACAACGTGGCCACAGTGCACCGTGAGATCTTCAGATCGGATGGCAGGAAGCATTGTGCACTCGAAGCCAAGTCTAAGCACCTGCTAGTGGGACTTGGCCCTCAGTCAGCCTTTGGCGAGTGTTTAGACTTGGCTTCGAGTACCCAAGGGTTCCTGCCATTCGATCTGAACATCGCACGGCGCACTGCGGCCACGTTGAAAAGACTTGAAAGGAAGACTAAACCCCGAGTAGTGGGACTTTGCCCCGAGCTGAGTAGTGCTAAGGCTCTGCTATACCCAACTACCTCAATGCTCAAAATATGGACATGCCTGCGACTTTGGGTGGAGCGGTTTACGAGGTAAGACGGTACTAAGACCCTTTTTTTTTTTCTTTTTTTTTTTTTTTTTAAAGGGAATTTGAAGGCTTTATCTATTGGTGGGGAGCGGCACCTGCTGGAAATCGGGTCCAGTGTCCCTGTACATCTCAAAGGTTTTGTAAAATCTGTGTAAACATATGTGTGCAGTGAAAACACTTCCTATGTCATCTCTGTGCATTATTCCCTAATATGATGTCCGATGCAGCAGGAGGCATTGATTACTTCCCAACTTACAGGGAATGATTGACCTCCTGCCATCCCAATCCGCAATCAACAACACCAGAAACCCTAGTCAACCCCAAGCTAGGTACTCTTGCTCAATCAATAGAACACAATTATCCAAAAGAATCACTCATGTGATCGACCAACGATTAGGGTTAGGGAACCTGCCAGCCCTTGACAGACAGAATCCAGTCCCCCCTACCCCATCCCCACCTTCGGCAACTCGTGTGCCGTGGCCACGCAAATCCGCAAGCACAAGAATTGTCATCAAAGCAGCCGCCCTTGCTCCCGATGTCGTTGTTGCTGATGCCGATCTCGCAAATGTTGTAGTTGTTATCGTTTGTCCTGTTGTTGTTGCTGGTGTAGCCATCGCCGTGGATGTCATTATTGTCGCTGTTGTTGTCTTTGATCCACTCTTCAGTGTTATTGTTGTTGTTTGTGGTGTTTCCACCGTTATCACTGGCGGGCAACCAATCACCCACCCATCATAAGCCGCCGCCATCTGTGGAGAGGCCGGAAGAAGCTGCCGTTCTTCAGGCCCTCCCTGCGTGTAACCCTCCTCAAGCACCGGTTGGCCTTGTCCTGTGTTGAGCGTCTGGTCCCTCCCTTCAGATTGTACGCGCAACCTCGCCTCCAAAGCCGCGCACAGATCACGCCCTTCGTCGAAAATATTGTGGCAGCGCCACGTCAGGGTCGGGCCAGTAGTGACAGCGACAAGTCACTTTGAAAAGGTGCAGTTGCCAGCACAAGCCTTGGAAGGAAGCTTCTTTTTTTTTTTTTTTTTTTTTTTTTACAACACGCCCCCACCAGTGTTAGTGGTGCTGATAAGAGCAGACACCACTAACACCTGGGGAGTGTGAACTGGTGGTGGTGGGTCCGCACTATGGTCTTCCCCTGAACACGATGCGCCTTCATCATGCCTGCATAGTAGGAGGGGAAGGGTGGCATGTGTAGATTCATTATCAAGTGCGTTGTGTAGGCTGCTGAGTCAAACTTTTGTCTCTTTTTTTGGACAGGGGATGGCCTTCAGGTATCTTCTTCGGACTCTTTCCCCCCAAAGGAAGTCACACTGGTATATTCATTCCATATTATTCCCACAGGAACACTGATGCCCCCATAGCAAGTCAGATTTTGGGCCTCACTCCACTGCTTTGCGGATGTTCAAACCTCTTATGAATGGTGAGGATAAGACACGAGCCAGCTGCGCTAGCGCTAGCGCCCTGATGCCGGCGGACTGGTAAGACCCGGTTCCCCCGCCTAGACTAGCGCCTGGGGAGGGGGGCTCCTCGGCTGCTAGGCCTGTGCGCGCCCCCGGCAGACGTGCGTGGCTCCTTGATTGGCCATGTGGCATCTGCTATTGGTGACGTGGATGACCATGACGCGCAGGCAGCTATGTGTCACCCGTGGTCATGACTGCGCGCCCGCTGACCGCATGCAGTCAGGATCATGGTCGCAGGGGGGGGCCCCGACTTTTTAAATTCCTCGGATATCACGCGGAAAAGAAAAATGTATACGGGGTTGTTGGGTTTGAACACCCCTGCATCCCCCTCTTTTTTTTATGTTTTTTGTGATTTTTAAAACAAGTATTAAAATCAAAAGAAACATAATAAAAAAAAGGCAACTTCTTTTTTTCATTTTCTTCTGATTGCTGGTGGGATAATCATGGTGTACATGTTTCTTTGATTCTTTTTTTTTCCCTACATATGCAAATATAAAAGGAACAAAAAAAGACAAGCAAACAGGGCAAAGAAGGCTAAGTGGCCGAAGCGGCCGTGGCGGCCGTGATATTCAGCCCCTAGCTGTTGGGCGAGCAACCACGTGTCGCGTCCGGGATCTGTCCGCCTTTTCGGGACAGGGGGTCTTTCCACTAAAGTCCGTTTTTTTACGCGAAAAGAGGCAGCTGCTATAGCCAGGGTGTTAGCAGACGCGACACATGGCCTCACTGAATAGGAAAAGCACAAAAATCTCAGTTCGTGAAGGAAGGGGAACGGTTAATTCCCAATAGGTGAGGTAAGCAGTGAACTTCAAGAAGGATTAACTCACATGGTGAGCTGCCTGCTATCCCCGCGTCAGCGAGCAGTGTGCCCCTTAGGCTTGGACCCCACCGCCCGGCGGCTGGAAAAGTTTTGGCATGGAAGGGCGTTTTCGGACCCCACCGGGCCGCCAGGCGGTTCGCCACCTCGTCTGGCGACGTCGAGTTCAGACCCCACCGCCGTTGCCAAAAGACCGCCAACCGTGTTTCTACATGGGTGGCGGATGGAAAAGTCTCCGCCCGCAGCTGGCGCTCTTTTCCAAAACGCCCTCGAACAGGGCGGGGAGGGCAAAGCGCCAGCCGTTGGCATCGGAGGCCGTGGAGGAGTGGTCCATTGAACGGGCGTGACGGACAAACGTTCGGTCCAGGCCGAGACCCCACAAACGAAGTGCATGTCGCACGAGATAATCAGAACTGGCCGTTGGTGGTCCCAGTAGGTGGTCCCCCGCTGTGGTCCCACTGCACTTTGAGAAGCGGGAAGGCGCAATTCAAATTTCTGTGGTGCGTTAACGGGTATTTTCGAAATCTGCTACAAGTACTTGGGGCGGAGACGAGGCAGACAGTCCATCGCATTGTGTGTCATTCATGTATCCGTGATTGCGCGTTCCCGCCCTTCGTTGTCCGCGGTTGTCTTCTTCGAAGTGACGTGGGGTCGAAGGTCGATCTGCCATGCGCTTTCTCCAGAACATTGCTTGTTTTGGCGGTGGGCGTTTAGTCCGACGCGCTGCCACGTCGCACGTGCGTGGTCTCTGGAGTCGTCATTGGACGCATTCGGATGCCTCCGCCGCAGTTCGAACTCTACTGCAGATCCCTGTGTTCAGCTCGGGATGTGCAGCTGCGCGAGCTTGTTTTCGTGGAAGCGGGTGTGCTGACGTGGTGGTTTCTTCGACTATCCCGTCGTTTGCTCCGAGGGTGGTCCCACGAACACCCTCATCAACGTCCTATGTCACACACTGCACGCGATCTCCATTCAGCAGTGGAGGTCCTCCGCTGTGGAATCCATCGTTGGACGTTCGCAGTCCTCCCGCCGAACGTCAGCACATGAATACAGGGCACGTGGTGATCGAACAGGGAAGTCGTCCATCAACACATTCGGCTTCCGGGGTTAGTCGCTGGTGTTCCTTCGCGGATTGTCCTGTCGTTTCCATTGTGGGTAACGGGTGCGGTGTGACGCGTGTAGGCGGTTTATCACTCGTCGTTGTGTCCCTTGTGGCTGCAGCAGTCGTTCTCATCGTCATCTTCGTAGTGGGGGTGTTGGTGTTGTCCATACTTGTTTTGTTTCTTGCCATTGTGCTTGTGTCCAGGCGTCGGTAGTCGACCCCGACACGGGTGTGGCGAAAGGTGCCGCCTTTGGTTCCCGTTTGTCTGTTCTTGTAGCTAGCAAGTGTGCGATGGATTGTAGGGGTTGGATGGGTGATGTCGTCGGTGGTTTCGACGGCGGTGATAACATGCACGATGGACAGCTGAATGCACGGCCCCATCAAGGTCAACATGCACAAAGCATGCAATCATTCGCAGCCATGCGTCAGTCCTCATCGGCCATGTAACATCCGTACTACCATGCACGCAGTGCTTCACCGCAGATGCCCTTCGGTGGAGGGTGTGTTGGGCAGTCCCCGGAGAGCATACAGACGTCGGGTGTTCCACGTGGTGGTCCACATGCGCGGGACAAGCGGGCGGACGACGTTTTCGCCGTTCGTGATCATCCTTTATCCGTCCAGCAGCAGTACGATTTGTATGGATCGCAGGGATGCGTAGAAAGCACGAGCATGGCTGTCGGCTTCGGCATGCCATCAGCGCCCACACAGAGCATGGCCGAGGATGGCAGGCATTGGTCTCCCCAATGCTCCCAGGGCGCTGGGAGGTTGTTCGGCGCGCGTTGTTCTCCATCTCCACCGGATGGCGTTGACACGGATGCCCCTTGGAATCGGGCGAACGCAAGGCCTGTGTCCCCCGAGATTCGCGCGGAGTCAGTGTACGATGAAGGCACGGGGGGCTCGGAAGCGGGCGACGAAGATGGTCAGCGAGAGCAAGGAACCGCCGTTCCCATGGTCGCCAGTTCGACGGCCGGGCAGGGTGATGTTAACGGCCAGGGCGCGGGCGGTGGAGCGGTCGGCGGACGACCTGTGAATGGCCGCCCGCCAGCTCAGAAGAAGGCAAACGTCCCATGGACGTTGGATGAGCGGGTGAGGCTTGCGATTTTGATGGGTGAGGATGATGCCCTTATGGCGGATGCTAACGGCCAGCACCGATTCAAGCAGAGGAAAGAGTGGTATGCATGGGTGAATGATAGGATGGTGGACGCAAGCTTCAAGCATAGGAGCGGTGAAGACTGCCGCAAGAAGTGGTCGAACATGCTAGCGACGGCCAAGCTCATCGTCGAGAAGTGTGAAGCGTCTGGAAAGCCATCGTATGGGATATGTCTACGGAGGAACGAAAGGAGAAGAGTCTCCCGCTTTCATTTGAGAAGGCTGTGTGGGATGCTATGCAGTGGCAGCTAAATCGGCCGTCGATTAGGTGTGACAACACGCTGGCCTCAGAGAACCTTCCGGGCGTTGGAACAGATGCAACACCGGCGGGAGGATCGGACGGAAGATGAACAGAGAAGTCAGACAATTCTGCTAAATCGACGTGGACAGCTCAGAAGAAGGCGAGAAAGGAAGATCCTGGCAGCAGCGTGTCGAGTTTGGGCAAGGCCATGGAGGATTCCACTCGATCTTACTGCAATGGCCTGGACAAAGCGGCTTCCACCCTTGCCAAAGCTACAGCAGACGCGGGGTGTGCAATCGCTGCTCGGATAGGGGACGTGGCCGAAGCAATGCAGGATGGCAATAGTGTTCTAGAGTTGCTAGTGGGTGTCCTTGCTCGGATGGGGGCGAACGTAGGTGACGGCGGCGAAGGTCCGACTCATCGGTTTACGGACCCTTCCTCGAGGTGATCACTTTTTTAAAGTTTTTTGTCGTTTGGTTTCTTCGTGTTTGTGCTTTGATATCTTCGTATATAGATTTACGAAGTTATATATACGATATATATATATATATATATATATTCTTTCCTCGAAAGGTAAAGTAACAGTCGTCGACGTGTCCCTGCCGGTGTTGGTCGACCAAGAGGAGACACATGCATATACGTGTATGTACATACACATGTATATGCATGTGTCTACCCTCGGTCGACCACCACCGGCGGGGACACGTCGACGGCCGTTCGTTTACCTCCCGAGGAAAGATTCATGACCCCGACCATGATATAAGGAAAAATACATTAAATCACATCACGCAGAAACGAAAAAAAAAAAAAAAAAAAAGTTCAAATTATTCAGGTGTTGACGTGACAACGTCGACGGAGTCAGTGGAACGGTCGGGCTATTCGCACCTCGACTTGTATAAAAAAGGTGTTCGCATCGGCTGCGATCGCAGTCTTTGCGCAAGATAGAGTATCGTGCCTGTGCGTTGTTTGTCCTCATCGGCCTGCTTTCATTTTTTGAAGTTGGGTGTGGTCGGCTGTGCGCTTCGCCAAGTGCTGAACGGCGAATCGGGCGGCTCCATTCGCCGAGAGGGAGAGGGGGAGGACTCTGG